GATTAGCCAATCAGATTTTGTATCGTCATCAGATGATCTACAAAAATTAGCCAATAAGAATGAAAGCCCGCTATGTTCCACCACTGATCTACTAGCAGAATATCACAGGATCTGACCATAAATTCAAGCCAGCATCGGAAATGCCGTAAAGATAGATAAGCATGTTCGCTAGAATTAGTTGGTTTAATCGCATTAGATTACAGAAATTACAATATAATACCACAGAATTGTAAAAAAATTATAAATATTACCACAGAATTAGACAAAAATTTCATCACATTAAATCACAAGATTTTGTCTTAACCACACTCAGAATTTAGTCTTAACCACCGCAGAAAATCATCGGCCAATAGCCAATCACAATAAAATCACGTGGCGGACATTTTTCAACTTTATGCAAGTCATCGCTACGCTTCGGAAAATAATTCACCTTACATACGTTATATGTGACTTTCTTTGACAATATGCATTTATGAATGGTCACTAAATAACAAGCCTAAACTGACTTAACGTTAGAGAAATTGTACGAATAATTGTTACGTAACAATGACACAATTTATCCCAAGTCATGTAAATTTTATTTTATAATTAGAATACTAATTGCGGAGTTCCAAAACATTCCAGATTGCTTATTCCAAGATGTTGATATCATCCTTTCCGTTACTTACAATATCGTTAATAATCATTAAAGTAATTGCTGAGACTTCCTTTCGACTTTCTTAACCAACGACACCTGATCAACCGTAAATTTGATTGCGTCAACAGCCGGGCGTGTGCGTAGATAATACATACCGGTTTTGAGTCCTTTCTTCCATGCGTAGCTATTAATGTCATAATTGGCAAAGGTTATCGTTCGTATGTGCTCTGAATGTTAAACTGAATAGCCATACTTCCGGTTAAGTCAGAGCACGAAACTAGAAAAATTTTCTCGTGCCCTAAACCCTAATATAACCCCACTCTTATTTATACTCACTTACCCACGCAATCACGTTACCGTGCGCGAAACTTAACAACCTATAACTGACCCACGGATACTTACAAATGCATAGATGATATTTTGCCAACACTCGGCTCGGAGAGAAATACATTCAATGACTGCGATTGATCAATGAACGGTGCTCGATCCGCCGCAAAATCCAAAAGAACCCTTTGTGGTATCTCCCAAATTGTTTTGTAGAGTTTCTTTAAGTCATCATCTAGTTCTTCAAAACCTTGAACGGAACCGTTAGCTGCGATTATTTCATTCTTCATCTTCTCATTCCAAACACCCATTTCGGTCAGATCGTTGAGTAAATGATGATTCTAAACAATATCAACACATTAGATTCAATCATTTATTATATCTAACGTTTATTGTAGCTATCATAATTATTCTTTATCGTTACCACAACTTGAAATTCACCACTTAGGACGCGACGTGTGTAAATATTGCTGGTGTATGGTTCAAAACATTCGTTATTACCAAGGATTTGGCTAGTAGAGGCAGTTGGCATCGGTGCTATTAATAGTGAATTTCTTATTCCATGCTTGCGTATCTTCTCTTTTAATTCTGCCCAATTCCACCGATCAGACGGTTCGACGTTCCACATTTCGTAATGAAGAATTCCCTGGCTGACCGGTGATCCTTCATAAGTTGCATATGGCCTCTCCTTTGCAGCAAGTTCGCATGACGATTCAAGAGCAGCATGATACAACGTTTCAAATATGTCAATATTAAGTTTACGTGCATTCTCGGATTCCCATGGATAACGCAACATAATTAAAGCATCAGCGAGACCTGTAAGTATAATATAAAATTTAAAACCAAGATATATGTAGGTACTTTAATCGATGGAATAAATTAAAGTTTCTTGCCTTGAATGCCAAGACCTACGCTAATGGCAAGAAAAAAAAAAGAATATTAAGATTAAAAAATCTTCTATGATATGAAATTTATACGCACTCATACTTACGGCCTATGTCGTTTATTACTTTTCTCAGCTTCAGGAACAGGATAATAGTTCTTATCAATAATCTTATTTAGGTTTCTGATAACAACTTTTGCAATTTCATGAAGTTTATTGAAATCAAAAGTTTTCGTTTTGGTATTGACGAATTTAGGGAGTGAGATTGATGCTAGATTACACACTGCTACTTCGTCTGGGGCGGTATACTCTATAATCTCCGTGCAGAGATTAGAGCATGTGATAGTTCCAAGATTTTTTTGATTTGACTTTTCATTACAAGCATCTATAATTATTAAACTTTTATTTTCAGAACTCAATATAAACAATACTTCAAACTATTGTTCTTACCTTTGTATACCATGTAAGGCATACCAGTTTCTATTTGAGAATCCACAATAGCGAGCCACAACTTTTGTGCCTTTATCGTTTTACGAGCCTTTCCTTCACGTTCACATTTAGTATATAAATCATCAAACGCTTGTCCATAAACACCGTCAAGGCCAGGGCATTCATGCGGGCAAAACAATGACCAATCTTCGTTTTTCTCCACCCCTTTAAACAATAAAGTTAAAATATACAATGAAATTAACAATTAGGAATAGTTTATAGCATGCGTCAACATACTTTTCATAAAAAGATCTGGAATCCAAAGTCCTAGAAATAGATCGCGAGCCCTAATTTCTTCCTTTCCAGTATTTTTCCTTAGGTCAAGAAATTCGAATATGTCTGAATGCCAAGGTTCAATATAACTACAAGATGTGTATATAAAAATATTCGTTATTAATAATAAAATAAAATAAGACGCATATCTATATCTTGATAGTACATACACTGCAAAACTACCATTTCTCTTCCCACCCCCTTGATTTACGAATCGTGAAGTGTCATTGAATACTCGAAGCATAGGGACAAGACCATTTGAAGTCCCACCGGTACCAGCGATATATGATCCGGAAGCGCGGATCTTCTGCGTACTAATTCCAATGCCGCCAGCCGACTTAGAAATTAATGCACATGTTGTAAGTGTGTCATAAATGCCTTCGATACTAAATTATATCCATCATCACTATTTCATTATAATAAAATTTGCTAATGCATAATATTAAAAAAAATTTTATACCTGTCATCCTTCATCTGTATCAAAAAACAACTGGACATTTGTGGTCTTGGTGTACCGGCATTAAATAAAGTAGGGCTCGCATGAGTAAAATACTTTTCAGACATTAAATTATAAGTCTCTATAGCAGCATCGATATCATTTCCATGAATACCAATCGCCACGCGCATTAACATGTGCTGCGGCCTTTCTACAACTCTTCCTATAAGAGTATATAACTGCATAAATTAGTGTAATTCTTTTTTCTAAATCAAAAAACGACTATTCTTAAGCACCTACATACCTTCGATTTTCATCAAATAACTCTTTTCTAAAGTTTTGAAACCGAAATAGTTATAAGCATAATCTCTATCGTAAATAATTGCCGAATTTAATCTGTCTGTATTTTCCATAACAATGTCATATACTTCTTTCGAAACTAAAGGCGCGTGAATTTTCCGTCTAGGACTGACATGATCATAAAGTTCTTGGATAACTATGCTGAACTAAATGTCAAATCGATATATCATTAAACATCATATCAAAAAAAAAAAATTTTTTATAATGCAATGATTTACTTGTTTCGTTGTTTCCTTATGTAAATTAGATATGGCAATTCGAGCGGCCAAAATAGCATAGTCCGGATGGTTACATGTCAAATAAGCCGCTGTTTCAGCAGCCAAATTGTCTAGTTCGACAGTTGTAACACCTTGATACATACCGCTGATAACCTACGTTTTAGAAGTGTTTAAGCAAGTAGTTGTTAATACAAGAAGTACAAATGCAAAGTTATACCTTTTGTGATATTTTTGGAGGATCAACAAATTCCATATTCAAACCATAACATAACTTAGATATTCTTGAAGTAATCTTGTCAAAATAAACGCGTTCTTTTCTCCCGCCTTTTTAAATATTAAATTGGTAGACATATAAAATAAGTCAAATGTTTCATTTAAAATTTATAATAAGACAAGCAATAGCTGAAATTTTTCATAGGCTACCTCTTTTTGTAACAACAAACATATTTCTAAACTTTCGTAGTAGTTTATTTTTATTAGTGTAGGTTTCGTATTATATTTCAAAAAATATAATTTAAATTCAAAAAAAAACAAAATATATCCGTTTCTACGTTGTATTTATATCTTTATCGATATAATCGCATAACTGATATAAGACGCGTCGAAATTATATCATGTGAAAACTTTCATCTAATTCAGTAATTGCTTTGTTTATCAGTTATCTAGTCGCGTTGCTCCGGAGTTAAACAAACAATAATGATTGTGGCACGGAGTCTTGGGTATGGACATACCTTCTAGGTATGTTGGTGATGTCTTTAAATCAAAAGTAGCAATAAGGCTTAAACTACTACGTATAGTAATTTGCCGGCCTGCATATTATTGTTTAAAATATCCTTTTTGATACAACAAACCAAATATTTGTTTCATATTTAATTATACGTATACTATTATTGTAAATCAAATTTTAACATATTATAAAGTAATATATACTTTGAATGACTGGCAAATCAATATGGTAGTTTAAGCCTTGGTTCTAATATATGGATAGTATATGGATGGTATTGTAGTAGAATATCACTGAATTTTAAATTCACTTAAGTAGATTCTATAAATATATGATATTTATAGTAACAGGCAAGTTGAACTGAAATTTTAAGTCAATCTATGTGGTTTAGAGAATTTTAATCAACCTAAAGTTGCTTCCTGACTAATTAGAATGACATAAAACTGCGCCACAATTTTAATTGGACGTACGTATGTCCAATTGGACAGTTGTACGCCAAATACGTATTGTATACTTCTTATTTGAGTGCATACGTACGTCCAGCATGTTATTGGATCACTTCATGATACACAAACTTTTGCTCACCTCCTATCGGAGGTGAGCGAAATTTGTTTAGAAATGATTCAACAAAGATGCAAGATGCTTATATATACATTAACCAATTATACGTACTACGTCATAACGGTGGCCAAGGCCTCAGCATCCTGTATAGTGAATAATCAGTTATGACCAATAAGTACTTGTAAGCTATCAAAACTATAATTAAATTTGGACCTTTACATTAGGTATATTAGCAGCTTCTGAAAAGACCTTACATTAGCGAAAAAAATTATAATTTGATTAAATTTGTACATAATTTGATATGTCTTGTATTAGTGTTTAATAAAAATATATATTTCTAAATATGATAAAAGATTTCAAGGCAATCTTATAAATTACATCAGAATCTTATAAGCTATATTTCAACTGTATATAATTAATTGCCTTGCTCTATGCATTGACTATGCAACTATATTTTATATTTTACAGTCAATATCAACCCATTTGAATTAGATGATTATATGGTATCAATGAAGGTTGATAATAAAGAGATATATTTATATAGTCCAAATACTAAGTTAACGAGATATTGATATTAACGAGGGTTGACTGTATATACGACTATGGATACGATACTTTTCGCACATAACCTTTATAGAGGAAAATTTCAAATACTGTATGTATTCACACTCAACTTGTCATTTTCTAAAAACTTAGGATTGGATACTTTAATAAAATGAACTTTAATAAGTATCATTGTCAATTTATATAATTTCGGTCATAATTTATTGATTAATCATTGATCGAGTTAATTCTAAATCTATATATTAAGTAGAAATTGGATTTCGTTGCAACTTATGTCGATTTAGAATCGATAATATTTGATTTCGACGTTCGACGTACAACATATATACAAAAAAAAAAAAACAACTTTTTTGTAATGATTAAAAGCTTACGCGTGAACTATTATCATTACCGGCTAAGCCAAAAATACACTTTAGCCGACTTTTACATTATCGGCCTGGACCACTATTTCCGCCAAAGTTGAGAGATTTTGCGTCTCAGTTCAGAAATAACTTGTTCTTTTGTTTCTAAAAGTGCATCTAATTCATCTAGGTACTGTTCAAACGCATTAACGGTAATATCTGGTGATCCATCCATATCACTATTAGAGTTCATTTTTAGCGTGAAATTAGCCAAGAGTTTTGTTTCTTGTTTTCCCGTATCGCTGACTTCTCTAAGTGCAGAGCGATGACGTCTCAAAAAATCTTCTATTTCTTGAGTCGTAAAGGTTGATGAAGGATTATTAGAAGGTCGGAAATGAATCGGTGAATTTAGATCTGGAGAATTTGGATATGGAGGCGTTTGTTTCAGATGATGAGAGATACTTGATGTAGTTCTAAGATCTGATGGTTCGTTGATTTTTAAACCTGAAATATCAGAATTAGGAACCATAGGTCGATTATTATGGTTAAATTCTTCCTCTGGATCATCAAGATCGTCAAGATCGTCTGGCAGCTCTTCAACAAGGCCGTCTGGCAACTCTTCATCGAGTATGTCTTTTTGCTCTTCATCACTTGGAAAGTCCTCTTCGAAGAAATCAGAGTCTTCATCATCAAACACCGGATCCTCTTCTTCTTCTTCTTCATAGTAATCTCCGTACGTCTCTCCGTAGCATTCGTAACTACCTTCTACGGCCATTTTTTCCCGTGCTTTATTATAATATTCTTGTCGTTGTTCATCTGTTAGTCCATTAAGTTCATTTGCTGCTAATTCAAGACCAGCTGCAACACGTTCAGCACGATCTCGCTCCGACTTAAGTTCTTTAACCCTAATTTCCAATTAAAAGCTCGATATTTAAAAAAAAATATCAATGTAATCGTCAATAATAAAGATAAAAGTCGAACATACCTGTCTGCGTATCTTAATGTATTAAGAGTGTGCTCACTATTTGAAATATTTGGAGATATTGTCGCAATCATACAAGTTCGTGAATTTCCAACGAACGAGTCCTTCAACACCTATATAAGTAATAATTTATAAACTAGTCTATCTGCTTTAAATTATAATTATTATGCGTTACAACGAACCTGCGTTAATTTGCTTTGACGAAATGGAGTATGTCTTTTATCTTGATCAAGGGCACGAATACACTCCTTCAAAGCTAACAAACTCTTATTGATTTCTGCACCTTCCATTCTATAATATATATTTTAAATACAATATATAGATGTATTATGGTTAAAACTATAATAAAATACCTTGTTTGTTTATCTGCATCCCCTCTGTCAGCACCACGTTCACTACCAGCCAAATCAATAAAACTAAGTTTGCCTTTAAAAAAAAAAAAAAAGTATTAACTATAGTACATATAACGTGGAAAAAAAAATTATAAATGTTAATACCATGAAACTTTTTCCTATTTTTTTTATGTTTTAATACTATTTGTAGAATAGCGTGAGATCTAGAAGAATCTTCATTTGCACCAGTGCTACCTAAATGATTAATCGAATATATTAACTGAAAAGTTAAAATGCTCTATTATTTTTTATTTACTTCATTTTACCTGTGCTTCGTACTGTATTCCCATAATCAAACACTGCCATAAGATTATCTACATTATCGATGGAATATTCTTGAAGTCCTGCAATTACGACATTTTTCTTTCCATCTTCCCGAGCAAATAATTTCTTTCTTTGATTCAATAGATCATATAGTTGTCCTTGATAAATTTCGTAGAACCCTATATATGACGCTAAATGGTTAAATTCTGGTTGTTGTAATAAGGCAAAAATATCTCGTGCAGCCAGAACGTAAAGTCCTAATGATTACAAATTAATATATATATATGATGTCAAAATATTGTAAATCTTGTAATCCATAATAAACTCAAAAATTACCTTGTTTATCGTCAAGCATAGTATAAGTTTTGCCACTTCCTATTAAAAAATTGAGAAGTAGAGTTACATAAACACGTTAACATAAACTTTAATCAAATTTGTAATTTATTCGTACCTGTTTGTCCACTATTTCAAGAAAAAAACAAATGTCAAGGGGATTTTGGTGAAGGATATTATAATGAAAAATAATAATATTTTACAAATCATATTGCTAGCCCTTTCCAAGATAGTTTCAAAGGATACTATGCAAAGCACGTGGCCTTGCCACCACGAAAAATGTACTCTACTAATGGTAAAGCGGTCCGTTTATATACCTAAAATGTCAATTAAGATAATAAACTAAGTAGCTCAGTTAAATTTTAACAATGATTCAAGCATTAAAAATTAAAATACCTCTTCATTAGTGGCTTCAGCGTTAAACACGTCATCAAAAAAGAACGTGTGTTGTTCTACATACTTGGTCAGATCGACTTTCATTCTAATTGGATGGAATTAAGCAAATTACGTGAATCATTCCCGGTAGGCTAGTGAAAGATAATAACGAGTCGAAAGACTTTGAGTGACAAATTATAACGAAACATATGAGGCAATAAAGCTCACTTTGGCTCGTTTATTAGAACAGTCCTTTGGCCATTGACGGCAGCAATGTCTTTCTCGTTCCTTGTGAGCTCTTTCTTGCTGAGTGGACGTTTACGTACACATACTCTTATCTTATCATTTAAATTACTAGGAACGTTATGTTTTGCGGGTAATGAGTAAGAATTAGTCCTTGATGGATGTCTTGATGGAACACCGTACGCGTTTAAGGTTGGACGTCGATTCGGTGATGAATTCGGTTGAAGCTCTTCCTCTTCTTCTTCTTCAGGCGATTGCTGCTGTGTTGGTTTAGCAACGTTAAACGGTGATGGTATTCGTGAACGTACTTGACTTCGACTTTGAGCGGGAGTAAGCCGACGACTGGTTAACGATGATAGCGAGGGGTCCATAACAACACAAATTTGATCAAAAAAATAAGAGTCTCAAAGTTGTTGAGTTATATAATCTTATAGAGCGATGGACTAAAAACTGTTAACGATTCTGAAATCAACCTCGATAACAAGATAACTAAGATAACTTCTAAGATTGCAAACAAGTAAATCCTCTGTGTAAACAAACCCGGGGTTCATGACTTTAACTTATATCTGATCGGCCAATCAGCGAGGCTATTATACCTTAATTAACCGCGCCACTTTCAAATACGGTTTTCGTGTAACTGTCTCAAGCTTGACCCGACTAACACCTACTATATTTATCTAATTTATTGCTTCGTATTTATGTGTTGAAAATAATTGTTCTCCTAGCGAATTTTTCAGGAGCGATTTCCAAAACCTCGTGACATGAATTTCAAAGTAAAAATGATTGTGTGATGTTATGTAGTGCAGCAATAAATGTAACGGAACAAACTCATTAAAGGCCTCGTGTTTATTGTTAGAACTTTTTATCATATGTTTCTGTAAAATTTGTTGGACGAATGTTCAGGTGAGTATAACACAAAATGACAATGGTAAGTAGTCATGTTACGTAGTTCGTGCTACATTTACAAATTTTCTAATCCGCGTAACGGTAACGCTTTAAGTATTTTTTTTTTTTTTTTAAATATACCAAATTTTTTATTAAATTTTTTTATTCCTACGTACGTATAAGTTAATGTATCTTAATATAGTTAAATTCATAACTAACTAATTTTGGTACTGTGCAAAAATATTGGTGCGTACTACGTATACGTACGTACTTACCTCAATTTAATTAATTTTTTGAAGTATTACCGTTACAATATTAAATTGCAAAATTGGTATATTTTGAGGCTATCATTGTTTGAAAAAAGCGCCAATTTCTTCGTTTTTATTCATAGTGTAACATATTTTAACCAATAAAAAATTATAATGTTAACAGAAATACTGTATTATTATTTTTTTTTACAGATATATTGTATACTATATACAGTATGTATAGTATGTTTTTTTTAATAAAAAATTTTTTATACAGTATAAACTTATTTTTTTATCTGTACAGTATTAATAAAATCAAAAAAAATATTAATAATATAAAATATTAATAATATAAAATATTAATAATATAAAATATTATAACAGTATAGTATACAATATAGTATTTTTTTTTTTTTTTTTTTAATGTTAAAAGGTGAGACCATGCTATATTTATTTTTACAATACTGTATATGTATATATATAATATACTGTATTGTACTTGTATATTAAATTAATTTGTTTAGCAGACAAATTTACTTTTTTAAATTTTTTAAATTTTAAATTTTATAATCAAATTTTGTATATTAGCTATAGTATACTACTGTATATAGTACTTTTTAAATAAAAATTTTGTTATAATAATAAATTTTTTATAGACAGCCAACTGTATATAATAACAGGTTTTGTTTTTTTTTAATAGTATTTATATACTATCTTTTAATTTGTATTTCAGACAAAATTTGTCTAAAATTTTGAAAAGTATTTACAATTTTTTTATTTTTTATTTTTTATTTTTTTTAACTTTTAGGCAGTTTCACCAATAATTTATTAAGATTCTAAATACATCTAAAAATATATTTGATTATTTCTAATTTGCAAGTCTGACATCATCTAGCTTTTTTTAAAGATCCAACTATCTTATAGACACCCAAATACAACCTATCACACTAATCTAAAATTTTAAAATTAGAAGGCTTATGTTAAACTAGTCTAATTGCCACACCATAATAACTTTTTTTCTTCTTTATATTTCTTTAATTGATGATTCTCCAGTTAACTAGTGGTTAAAGTGTCAAAATCAGCCTGGTGAGTACTGGGATATCTTTAAAAAACTTTTCTTTTACTATGTAAATTTCTTTGCAAACAATAGTATTGTTTGCAAAGAAATTTACATAATAAAAAAAAGGTTTTTTAAAGATATCTCAGTACTCACCAGGCTGATTTTGACGCTCTAACCACCATTAAATATGGTTTGACAAGCTTTATAAAAGTTTCTTAAGCAAAAAAGATGATTAACTTAGTATAAAAAAAAGTTTATCTTGGGCAAATACCACATTCATACTATAGTAAATTTATATAGTAATCTGAGTCACATTTTACTAAGATCACGCACCAGTTAACTAGAAAATCATCAATTAAATTGCAAGAAATTTACTAAGAGTAAAATAAGTAAAAGGTATAAAACAAAAAGAACTAAAAGCCAAAAAAACAAATAATACAAAAAAAATAATAATAATAATAATTAATCAAGAACAATAGATAAGAAAAACAAAAAAAAAAAAAAACTACATGGGGTCTGTTCCTTGAAAATGACCTTACAGGACATAGTAAATCATATAATTAAAACTTGATTTCAAGAAATGGACCCTACATGATAAGCAAGAAAACTAGTTTAATATAAAAATCTAAACTAAAAAAAAAAGATTAAAAGACTAAAAGATACTCCTATTAAAAAACTTCAGGCTATTAAAAATACACTGTTATAGCCTATATCAAGCTTAAAAAAAAAATTATATAACAAATACAATATTTGTATATCTCTGTTGTAAAGCTTTATCTTAACATACTATATATTTCTCTTTTCAACTATCCTTGGATATTTTAGCTAAAAACCCCGATCCTAGTCATGTAAAGTAGTGCCATATCTATAAATAAACAAGACATGTGATTGCAATCTACTATACTTGTCTAAATTTGAAAAGTAAACAATGTCAATTATTTGGAGAAGATAAACTAAATCTTTACTTTTTATCAAAAATTTTAAAGAAACGGCAAGGAAGTAGAGAAGGCAATAGAAGAGTTACTTGAGCCTTTTCTTAAAGAGTGTTTATTTTCTTCAATCTAAAGTGTATACTCTAACTTGAGGGAGAGAGGAGTACAGATAGCTTTTGTATCGATAAATAATAAACTCTGAACTTGTTGGCAAGTAGCATATAAGAACTACTTCTAAATAACAAATGCTGTTTCTGTGATGAGTAATAAACTCTAAATTAGTTAGTAGATAGCATATGAAAGCTATCTCTAAATAACAGATGCCAACTTGTAAATACCTACCTTTTTTTTACATATTTATAATAATAAATAAGTTTTTTTAGAAATTTTTGTTTATGAAAAATTTGGTACAAGTGATTATCAGGAAAAGTAATTCATTGAATTTTTTAATGTTTTGTACTATATTTACAATTTTTTAAATAAATTAAAAATTAATAATAATATAGAGTATATATATAGTATATCACTAGTTAAAATATAGCAATTTATATACAAATCAAGCATACTTATTTAAAACTGATAGCTACCTAATTAATACTTGATTTTTAAATTTGATAGCCTGATTTATGCTAATTTATAATACAAATCAGCACAAAATTAGAGTACAGTTCTAAATTTGCTTATATTGTTATAAAACGTCTATGAACATATTAAAAATTATGTTCTCAAAAGATTCAGAAGACTATGATGATTAAAACAAGCTATAATATATGATAAACGGGCTAACAGATAACCGGCAATTGATAAACAAAAATAAGCCAAGAAGTGATAAATGATAAGCCGAAATGGATTTACAAGATTTTTTTTTTTTTTTTTTGGTATTAAGGTGACCTCTTTGGTCTGGGGAACTTTTTATTAGAGTATAGATGAAGTTT